AATGGCAGGGTAGAGAGATTGTTAGTCCAGATGGCAGGAGCTGTAAAGAGAAAGCTCTTGCACCCATGTTGGAGAAATACTGACTGGACAAGGGAGTAGGAGGATGCACTCTGAGAGCACAGGGATATTGTGGTCTTGATAGAACTGTGATGGTGCGTGTCATCTAGTACTGAACTAAATGAATGATATTGAGCCAGCTTGTGGTGTTTCTGGATGAACATTTTCTTCTTTTACAATAATAGAGAAACTCCTGCTGGTTCCAAGAACAAGATCCCTGACCAAGCTATAGCTTGCAGTTAGGACCCAACAGCTGAACATCTCCTCAGAATCCCGTGGGTCTGAGTGAGTTGCTCTGTGGCTGAGCTGCCACCCAGTCAGGGCCAAGACTGCTGAACAGAACATTAACAGTTGTTTTTGTTTAAATTCATTTCCTTTCACAGTGAACTCCTATGGTCAGCCCCAGCCTCCCCATCTCTTTTCTGGGCCATCTCCTATGTACCAGATTTCCACCCAGGACTCGCCGGGATACAATCGCCCAGGTAAGGGGTGACGTGAAGGCCTATTAGACCAGTGGACATTAAACACTGATTCCCAACCCCTGTGTGCGTTTCTCACAAAGCATTTAGTAATCAAATGGAGCACTGCAGGTAGAGAGGTAGCCTGGACTTCAAGGGACTCTCCTCTTTGGGCTCTGCCACAGCTCTTGGAAGGTTTAGGATTTCAGTGGCCTTGCCCTCAGTTGGTTGCTTGAAGGCAACTTTACATGAGAAGCTTCTTCCTGTTGATAAAGTCCTTTGTGCTCTATCAGCAGTCAGCTGTGAGGAAAGTAAAGGAGGCTGAAACTTAACCTCTGTAGAAACTGCTGTGGCAAATTTGACAGCAGACCACCTACAGACATTGGCAGGTGCTTTCAGAGAGAGAAATTGGTGCCAGTAGTGTTCTTGTTAGACTGTTGGAAGGGAGAAGGCCCAAATCCCTTATTGTGCCTTCTGCCCAAGGGCCCACTATGACGAAGTATGTAGGTTTTTATTCTAATTGTTCTCTTTCCTTTTTCTTCTCTTTTCTTGTCTTTGGCTCAGCTCATCATCTGGTCCCTCGGCCTCCAGGGCCTCCTCCAGGCGCCAATGAGGAAATCCCCGATGATTTTGACTGGGACTTGATCACCTAGCGAGCTACAGACTTGATAGCCCGTCCTTTATGAAGGACGTGGGAGGGGAGGGGGACATGGGGTCACTGGTGCCAGCACCGCCCTCCCCAGCCTCCCTGCCTTGCCTGTATATAGATATATATTCTCTATCTCCGCCAGAGAAGCCACCGCAAGATGCTGCCGAAGATAATCCTTCCTTGCGTCCTGTTTTATCTTCTTTTCTTCTTTTGTTTATTATTATTATTGTTATTATTATTATTACCAATAATTGAGCACAGCCCTCCCCCTCTTCTGGTGGCCTCGGACGCATCAGATCAGCTCTTCCATGTTGCGCGGCGCCCTGTGGAGGGCGGAAGGATGAGTCCTTGGTGCCATGAAAAGACCTTGGAAGGCTGAATCCTCGAGTGCATCTTTCTCTGCCTCC